GTAGTCATTGAGTCAACCATGAACTCCTCTGTATATATAAAGTATTCTAGAGTCAAATGTGAGGCCATCTGTCCGACAGCTCAAACAAATGCTAGCAAAACCTCAATGAACTGAAGCAACATTATAAAGAAGAGTGGGTCAAAATTCCTCTACAACTATGTTATAGACTGATAAAGTGATACAGAAAATGATTACTTCTAGTTATTGCTGCTAAAGGTGGTTCTACAAGCTTTTGAATCATGAGCTGTACTTAGTTTTTCACAAATGGCATGGCATTAAATCACAATAAATCATGACATGGTGTAATATGTTGTTGTTCACCTGAGGTTGTACTTACTTAATTTTAAGATCTGCTAAGTAACAGATAATTGTTATTATCTCCTGATATGTAAAACCATATACTTCACAGAGAGTGTACTTTCTTTTTCCGGTGACTGTATAATGGCCTTTATATTCAATGAATGTTTATTGAAATAATGTTTTCAGTATATCAGAAAAAACATTCACACAAAGTATTAGAAAGATACAACAGTGATAAATGAAAGTTCACAGGACATAAATAACGAGTTCAGTGCTTACATAGTGATAATCCAAAGATTTAGTCATCAAATGAGTAATTCCAAGGGGGTACCTGTAGACACTATACCATACAGCAGGTGTGTCCAAAAGGTAGATCCCCAGATGTTCTAAAACTACAGCCTCCTTGATGCTTTGCCATTGTATAGGCATTCTAAAGGCATGCAAGGCATCAAGGGAGTTTTAGGTTTTTATTTAATTCTTTATTTTATTTGTGCATGAAATGAACAACCATGTCTGCACTGCCACAACAGCTGGTGCATACACATATAAAGACATAAGAGAATATTGGCATGGCATTGGAAAACATTGCACATTTTTCTTGTTTTTCTCAGAGTGGAAACATGTAGTAAAGTGGGACACACTAAGAACAAGGCATAACGAGTAGCCACTGGTGGCTGACATTTTGCACACGTGCACATTCAAGAAGCTAATGATATGAATGACTTTGGTGCGTTTTATGAGTAGGCTAATTGGTTACATAGCTAGCAGGTGTATCAGTATGCGGTTTGTAGTAGCCAGGTCAACTGCTTATGTGCCTTATGCATGTAGTAAAAAGCTATGCTGGTATAGTGTGCACCTAAGTTTGAGGTATAAACATGCTGGATCTAAGTGGTAAGCTGCATGCAGTATATCACCCTGGCTGGTCTAACATGCATGTTTCGGGACAGGTTCTGGGAGTCGTCTGTATGGCAGGCATGACACCTCGCCGGTGTGAGCCGACTTGCGGTTAGCCGATGCCCAATTTGTTGCGTTGGTGTGGCTGGGTATGATTGCCCATCAGGGCAGGGATCTGGGCAAAGTCCATTTGCTGGTTTGCTGGGTGCCATAGACGTGTTGGACCAAGGTCGCCAGGTCCAGGTAACAGAAGGGTAGAGTCCACCAGGGTAGGCTGTTGAACGTAGTCCAAGAAAGCTTGTTGCCGGGTGCCACGTGTAACCCCTCTCTGGGGCCACCGCATTGCGGGTTGTGTGGACAATAGGTACGTGGTCGGGCCCGCTGTGGGCAAAATCATTAGTCTCCGGCGGGGGTAGTCTCTTTGCGGCTTTCCGACCCTCCACCGCGGCCGTTACCAGCTCAGCTATGTCGCCGTCTCTGCTTGCCATTAGCTTGGCTTGTTGGTGGGGTGGGTAAGAGTTCTTATGGCGGGCTGTGATGTAGGGCATGGAGGTGGAGGTCGCAGACCCCTTCAGTCTCCTTTCAGCAGCCTCGCTGTTTGCTCAATGAGGGAGCAGCCTTTCTCATAGGCCTTGGCGCACCTGGCGTTCGCCATCTTGCGTGCTGCGCCCGGGCCCCCAATCGGGGCAGCGGTGTTGCTGGGCCTGGATTGCATAGACACTGGGTGAGGACCGGGATCACCCCCACGGTCCATAGGGGGGGAACAGGGCCGGTTCCGCCCGGTGCTGGGCCTCTGGCTGGTGCCATCAGGCAGGATAGTTGGGAAGCGGCCGTCTGCCCCTCTCACCACCGGCGAGGGCCTCGACTGAGACGGCGAAGACCTCACCTCGGACTGAAACTCGAGGAGCCGGCTTCGCCCTGGATCCAGCGGCAAGGTCACACTGTAGATGAACCAACCCATTAACTCTTTGGCTAACGAATTCTAATTAACAGCACTTGTTGGGAGTTTGTAGGGTGCTTTTGAGTGAAAGATAATAGAGAAGAAATGAAAGAGCAAAGAGAGTAAGAAGAAAAGAAAAGAGGGGGAGAGGAGGAGAAGAAAACAGATAGGGGATGGGGGGGGGTGGAGAAATGGGGAGATGATTTAAAATGTTAACCAAAGTAATGTCTCACAAAGCCGCCTGGGGTTCACCACTCATACACAGAAAGCAGGCAGTGGGACCTCAAGGCTCTTCCCTCTGACTCCCACATTCTCGAACCTCCGGAGAGGAAAGGAATTCTAGCCAATAAAACCAATTTCTTCCACATGCTTTCTGTTTCTTAGGGGAATCTGTGCCCAGCACATCCATTGTAAATTGACCTTTAAATAGATGCATAGGTATGCACAAGTGGTTTTTTGACAGTGCCTGGGCACACCTCATATGCACAAACACTGCTCTAAGGAGCACTGTGCCACTCCCCATGCCAAAGAGGTTGCTCTGACTGGCCCGTGGCAATTCTGTGCAGTCAGGGAGTGCTGTGTCACTTAACAAAATAGTATATTAATTTAATGTTGAGCAAATGAAATGTGAAATAAGACAACAAAAAGCATATATTACCACGAGCTCCATTGCAACAATTGCGGTCTTAGCAATGTATGTTAAGAGGAAGACTATAGTGACATTTTTTCTAAACCAATCAATACAGTCCACCTGAAAATACGTAATTTTATGTTACGTTAGTGGTAAATACTAAAAGTGGCTAATATTACATACACATTTTACAAAAACCTAGGGTAAAACTATAGCATATACTTCAACACATCTTAAAATAAAGATAATAAATAATTATTAATATATCAAAAATGGAAAGAGAGACAGAAAGGATATTTAAAAGGCACAAATGTGACACTAATCAACCAGCCCAGTTTTATGTCCTTACGTTTTTGTAGGTAGGCATGGTTATATTAATAAAAAAGTTAATATCTCATAAACAAATAAAAGTGCCAGAACTGAGACTTAAGCAGCACAAATTATTAATATTTCAGTAACTATAATAGATCGATTTATGTAAATGGCACAAACGGGTACATGCGCAACCCTAGCAAATCAGTCAGATTTGGGCAAAATCCGAGTCAACTCGGGTGCCGATGTTCTATCAGATTTTACTACCCAGTGAAAATTCCCTAACCCCTTTACTTCCGCTGATGCTGCCCTACTGGAAGTGAGCTGAATCAGCTCTAGGGGTAGGGGATTCTCTCGATGAGCTGTGCTGGTGCTGGAACCTGTGTACCAGCACATGTGTAGTAGGACCATCAAAATACCCTACCCTTCACTGCACATGCGTATGACACAGCTGATGCTGGCACATGTGTATACGCACCGTAAAAATAATCTACCCCACTATTGCTCATCCGCACTTATGACATCACGGTGGCACGCACTGTGCACGTGCATGCACCTGGTGAATCCCTTACCCCTTCCTGGTGAAGTGCAGGCACCCCACACAGGTTAGCCAACCTACAGCTGTTTCGGCTCACTTCTTGTACGGTAGTGTCATTGGCAGTGATGGGGGTAGGGAATTTCCACGGGTTAGAGTTTTTTTGATAGAACACCGGGTTACATGATTTGCCTTGAAAAATAAAAAATAACCAAATCAGCACAAATAGAAATTTTAACAGCACTAATCAGCACAAATAATTGGTACATTTGTTTTTAAAATGTAATAATGTGGGAATCAAAGTGGGCAAAGATTGTTCATATATAATGTGCAATATTTTCAAAACAAAACTGGTACAAATGTTTGTTTTTGCAGCACTAATCAGCAAAAATAATAGGTACATTTGTTTTTAAAATGTAATAATGTGGGATGCAAAGTGGATGGAGTTTGATCTTGTATAATTCTCAATATCTCCAAAATGAAACTGATACTTAACTTCATTTGCACAAATGCAGCACAAACAAATTGTATATTTGTTTTTAAAATGTAATACTGTGGAATATAATAATTTAATAATGCGAATATTTATTCACATTTTAAAAACATGGGGTGCCAACTTTACACAGCTGACTCAAATTGGATGGCACGTTACATAATTTTCCCTGACAAAAACCATAGTTATAACAAAAAAAAAGCAAAGCAGCAAAATAAACATTTTAACAGCACAAACCGGCCCAACCAACCAGGTTTTATGTATTTTTGCTGTTGTAGGGGGCCTGTATGACCTTATTTAATTGGCAATAAAAGCATCACAAATCTTATTTTTTATGGCACAAATGTAGAACTAAGCGGATTTATTCTTGTTAGTGCCAATTGTAGAGGAGCCAGCTTCACACAGCCCCAAAGGACACATTTTGGCTTTCACTTTTTTTTTAAAAATAGATTAATTTCTGCATTTTTATGATGCATTTTATAGATAGTACACCATAATGTCCCTTTAAGTCAGATACTTAGAACTATACCTCCTGTGCTGTAAGGGGGAGGAGGGGGTGGTATGTGGCTCTATGCCATTCTCATAAGAGGAGGGAGCACTTTACTGTATATTGCAGTGGCCAAGTAGGGAGCTTTATTAATATAAATGTAAGGATGGCTATTTTCTGTACACATCCGGCTGTTTGAGGTTTGCCTGGCTGTCCCAGTGACTACTCAGGCTGTACAGTACTGTCAGATGCCATTGCTATGTATCATATAGAAGTGGGAATTAGGGCCAGGGTGCTTTCAGCTGCAATAGATCTCATATTACTCTCTCTGCCAACTTCGCATGGAAATATCTCTTCAGGCCCAGATTATTTGGGTTGGGCCTCTGCAGATCTAGGCGTCACCCTGCAGAGACAGAGCAAGAAGAAGATAAAGATAGAAAGACGGGGCTAAGGGGAAGAGAACATGTTAAACAAGTTATCAAATTCAAAGTGACACACCTTCTAAGGAGGGATGCAAGTAATATGGATTGTAGTAATGAAAGCGAGATGGATTCATAGACTGTACAGTTTGACAGGAGGGGGACAGCACTGGGTGGGGCTGTTAGAGAATCACTTACAGGGGTATTGAAAGACAGTCAAAACCTGCAAAATGTAAGCATGGGTTTTATTTACTAAACAGTGAAATGTGGTGAATTTTACTCCTACCATTGCAAATGTTAGGGTGACCATATGCATTGAAAAAGAAAGTAATTTCGATATTTTGTTTCCACACGCTGTTTTGTTGTACACTTTGTTTTGTTGCATTCCACAGAAATTCACAGGTTAGTGAATACACCCCATGAGAATCAGTGCAGCAGTAGAAAACACTGGCATGGGTTTTTGGACAGCCAGGGAGTATCTGAGACTGGTGGGTGAGTCTGATCCAGGGAGTGTCTGCAACAGAGACAGCCCCGGGGAGTGTCAGACAGCGAGACAGCCAGGGAGACGAGTCAGAGGGAAGTAGGGAGGAGACTACAGAGAAAATAGACCTAAAGATTTTACCAGGAAGGGAGAGACAGTAAAGGTCTGTGAACCAGAGAGAGAGAGATCTGGAGTGTCCTGTACATGTAAGTGGCACACGTTTCGACAACTATAACATGTATTTACCTTTCACCAGGGATTCTGCACTATTTATAAATAAATATATAGTCCCTTGTGGCAGAGGGTACTGAGACATATGACAAGGAGGGCTCTTAATAAAAATAGTTGAGTCCTTGCCATGCCTCGCTCTTTAACCCCTTAAGGACCAAACTTCTGGAATAAAATGGAATCATGACATGTCAGACATCTCATGTGTTCTTAAGGGGTTAAATAACATTCAGTTCTTATTAGGCTCAGCCTTTGGCTGCCTCTGCACGATAGGTGTTGTAATTTGCAGACCCTTAGGTTGCCTACTCCCTGGTTTCGCCCAATAACCCATAGGCTATGGGTGTTATATTTTACCTTATTAAAAGTCAATTTATTTAGCTGATTTATTAGTCATTTATAGTATTAAATTTAATGTTTTTCACTCTCCTTCCTGTAATGTGTATTTAATATATGCACAATGACTCTTTTTTTTTTTTTTTCCTGAGAACCATTTGGTTTTATTATCTATATGTAGAATAGCATAGCTGTAATATGGTTATTAAATTACTGTAGTTTTGGCAACAGAGAAAAAGTTTTGACAACAAGAACATAAACCATAACATTTTAACAAGCTGTAGCTAGCGCTCCTATATCTATCTATACATTTATAGAATAATCATATGCTATTTTCATGCAAAATATATTCTATAGTTTTTGTTTTTTTACGAAGTACATTATAATAGTTAGAAATGGTCCCTTTAAAACTGTTTTTTATTAAAAGAAAGGGATATTGGCATAAGAAATTATTTGGTATGCAGGAATTACTTAACCAAAGTATGACTCAGTTTCAGCATCACTTGAACCCTTTTTATTTCTTTTTCTTTTTTTTTTTTTTTTGTTGATACATGTGGAAACCTGTTATGTTAGTGTTAAACAACAATCTTGTCACACAAATTGTTGTTCGGTGATAACGTAAACAAATTTTTTTTTGTGCCCTTCTTTTCCTCTGCAGATAGGTTGAGAGTACCATATTATTAGATAATATTCCTTGTTATTGCATTATATAGGCATGCCCTGATATGTCTCCTCAGCCACAATCCTTGCTATTTAGCAATGCAAGCTCATGTACATTTTGATTATGGTTTGGGAATAAATTTATAACTCCTCTGCATGAGTCAGAGGGACTGATTGCTGTATGGCGGATTAATTTATTACTTTACTTGATAAGGACTAGTGCAGGATGAAAGGGAAGGTAAGTAAGAGCTTTTTATAAAAGGGCACTAAGCCTGGGGTAGGTAACCTTTGGCAACCCAGATGTTGTGGACTACATCTCCATTGATGCTTTGCAGGCATTATGGTTGCAAGATAATTATTGTTGTTTTAGTCCACAACATCTGGAGGGCCGAAAGTTGCCTTCCCCCTGCTCTAAACCAAATAACTACAGGTCATTAAATTATGGCAGGAGTAGGCTACATCTCCCATGATGCTTTGCCAGCATTATGGCTATATGAGTATTACGGGAGATGTAGTCCACAACATCTGGAGTTCCGATGGTTGCCTACCCCTGATTTAGGCATTGTTCACTGGTTTTCTGACAAACCGTTCCGGAGCACTTTGGAAGACAAAAAAACCCAAAACAAAACAGGCCTTCCGCATGAAACTTATAGCCTACTCGCTCTACAGCCGCACTGAAATTGCAGAAACATCATTTGTGCAGTATCAAATATGAATTTGGCAATGGTATGCTGAGAGCAGAAGGATAATCCTTCTTTCAGTCCACATTGGGACATATTTTCACTTGATAATATGAAAGTGTAATTGTCACAAAATCAGTGTGACTGCTGAGTGAGTACCCCCTTTTTTATTTTGTTTTTTTGATTAAATGTTGAACAAAATCAAGAATGTACATATACAATGATAATGGAGATGGGTTTCATAAATTGATAGAACATATGCAAATATAATGATATATTTCTTCATATTTAGCTGTAACCTCACTGCAAATACACCGATACAGTCTGCATTGTGAATATGGCTGAGGAAGAGATTGTCCCAGTTTATGCCACTGGAATTTCGGCGCAGTTGCAGAAGCAGCGGGAACAGGAACTGGGTGTAGGAAAACATGAAAATGCAGTGAAATTTCTGGGTCAGGATTTTACTCGGATCCAGCAAGAATGTTTACAGAATAGGACTCTTTTCACGGATGATACCTTCCCAGCCACAGTTCACTCACTAGGATTCAAGGACCTGGGTCCAAATTCATCGAAAACCCGTGGTGTTAAATGGGTCCGGCCCTCGGTAAGAATGCATGAATGGAGAATCCCTAGTGATAGTTATGAATTTGTAAATGATTTAGCTGGGGTGGTTACTTTGTAAAAAGGGACTTTTGGCTTTCTGACTATAAGGAACATTGAGCTAAGAATCTCTTTAACCCCTTAAGGACACATGATGTGTGACATGTCATGATTCCCTTTTATTGCAGAAGTTTGGTCCTTAAGGGGTTAAAGGAACACTCCAAGCACCATACATACCGCTCTAGTGTATATGGTTCTAGAGGTGCTTAGTAGAAGGTGCTCTTAAAAGGGCTTTTAGCAGCTAAGCTCTAACTTTGTAAATCTGACCTCAGGCTGGCACATTCATAACACAAAATGGTTGACCTTTATTATGTAGGATGGGTCTATTGATAGTGATTGACAGATGGAATGCACATTCACACTTCCCCCTCAGGTCCCTCACCCATCTGTCATGCACTAGGAGTGGCGCAGATATCCAATGTTTACTAGTAATCCCCTAATTTATAATCGTGTGTAATGGTGCTTCACAGTACCAAGGAGCATGACAAATTCACATAAGGTGTTGTGAAGAACAAATCTTATGAGGAGGCAGAAAACTTAACAAGTTTAGCCTCGAATTTTGAATTTCCATGTAACGTCTCCTCAATTTCCAGTTTAGTGTGGATCATTTTTTACAATTACTCATTGGCAGGCACTGCCTGTTATTCTGCAGGTAACATAACCCTAAAAGTAGGTGCTCTCAGTCTCTCCATGTTGCTTAAGGGTAACCTCTACAGACGCTGGTAGAAAGGCATTATGAGGGTGTAGATTGACTCTGCAGCAATGTGACCATGTCTGAATATGGTTGACTTCACAACAAGTGAGAGATGTAGGGGAACACCACTATTGTTAATTCTGTACTATATTGATATGATGAGTCTGACAGTTACTCTTTGATAGTGATTATATTGTATCTTACAATTGCCAATATTCTGGGAGAGAGACAGGTCCCAAATGCCTTGGGACACACATCGTTTTGCCAAACTGCTGGAAAACAGAACCATTGGCCTGCTATCACTGCAGCCACTGCAGCAAACTGCAGTGCTTTTGGTGCCTAGAGTGCCCCTTTAATAGTAGTGTGGCTGAAATGACCACAATTTATGGAATACAGAAAGAAGGATCTGCACATTTAAGCAAATATTTTACTGTTTCATATTGTTCAAAGGGTCTTAGAGTGCACCTGTGTTACGACACACAAATGTACATTAAATGTATACTTTGTGTTATTGTCAGAATCGTACATTAAATCTATGATAGAAGAATGTGTTCCCTCCCCTCACCTTTCAAATAGTTTCTCGGGATACAGAAATATGGTGACAGATATTTTTATTTTTACCTCAATGAACTGTCAATAAAGCCAACTTGTCGTGTCTTGGGGAAGGTGCACACATACACATTTATAATGAAACCATAAGACACACATGTCGTGTATGTTGCCCTGCTGACTCAATCTTTGGATGAATTCCAGTCATTGAGTTCTTAAAGCTGCAGCTCCTCTATATTTTGATGGCGTCTATAGTTTGTCGCTGAAGAGGACTTATGCATTTAGAGCACAAGATTTTATTGCTTAATGTTAACTTATAACACTGTAACTGTCACTTTTCTGGAAGTGTCATTTCCCTCCCCAGTAAGACTTATTGAATCATGTACTGTGATGCGCTGCAGAGGTAAGTAAAAAACAAAACAAAATGAAATAAACAAACAAAATGGACTTACCTCCATTGCACTTCCACGTTCAGAGCAACACGTGTGCACTTATGTGTGCCTGACTTACCACAGAGGTACGTGTGCTCGGGCTTTCTTTCACAGATGGTAATTTGGGATCCATTTTAATTAATATGGCAAGCTCTGTCTGTGCTAAATAAGCAAAGCAAACTGTGCACATTAAAATATTAAAACTACTGACAATTAAATAGATTTAAAAAAAAAAAAAAGCACAACCCACAGCTAACTTTTCCTCCTAAAAGATATAAAACAGGCCAGTTTGCTTTTTTTTTTGTGATACATGCAGGAAGACTGGTCATTCCCTACTTTTATTGTTCGGGGATACAGAATGGAAAATGTTAGTTTTTCTGTCTTCCGGAATGGGCTGAAGAGAGCTATGAGTCTCTATCTCCCATTGAAAAGTGACAGGGGCATATCAGTCTGTTACTCCCAATTTATCCTGGACAGAATTGTATAGAAAGTCTGTTTCTCCTACCACAAGGTGACACGAGACATAAAGGCAAACCATGAATAAACCTACTGCTTGCATGTTTTGCCTACAGCTACGCTGAAAATATTTTTATGGCTCCTCATACTTTATAAATGACATGTTTTACAGTAATCCTCTCGCACACAATGATTGGGGAGGGGGTCATTGCAAGACCAGGCAAGCTAATACTAGTCAAACAGGTTGGATGGCATTTAACTTTCGTAACCAGTAGCACGCTGACAGCTGTAGTGACATTAAAGGGACACTGTCATATCATATGATTTTTAACCTTATCTTTACTTATCCCTATATTTAAAATACAAATAAAATAAAAATGAGGTGTGAAAAATAAAATGTAGAAATTTACATATTTTTCTATCTGGGTGCCTCCATCTTAGCTTCCTCTCAATCAGTGTTGTAAGCGCTGTCCTTTGCATCTGGCAGTCCGCGTAGAAAAAGTATACGGCAAAAGTTAAACCATGCTTCTATTTCACCTGTTCTTTGCAAAGTCTTCCATGGCAATGTCTTGTCTGAACTGGATTATGAAGCCCTTTAACCCCTTAAGGGCACATGACATGTGTGACATGTCATGATTCCCTTTTATTCCAGAAGTTTGGTCCTTAAGGGGTTAATAGTTCTTTAATATAAATTTAAAACAAATTGGACCAACTCATGAAAGTAGGTGAACACAGGTTATAGGTGATTTTCAATGTTTTATTCAATGGTGTAAATTCTAAAAAGTTACAGTTCTCCTTTAACTACCAGTAAAATAATACTTTGCTGAATATATATATATTATCAAATGTATTTTGTTTTTGATTGTATATTTCATAATAGCTTAGCTTGATTTCTGCAAGGTGTTTTTTGTTGTTTGTTTTTACATTATGCAACACGGGCATCTTTATAAACAAATTTACACAGTCAGTGCTTAAAGGAAAACCGTAATCAAACAATGACAGTCAAATAATGCATGGAAAAAATAATGCAAAAATAAATTGTAATAATAAAAGAGAAAAAATAAATTACTGCCCTTCTGTAACCAGGAATAGATTCCACCAATCGGTAACCACTCATTCTGACTTACAGGGTTTCTTCTTATCCTTCCAACTACTCTCTAGCAGGGTTGTATTTGATAAAATAAATAGTTAATCCCCCCCAGCTACAGTTTCACTCAATTCATAGGTTGGCTGCTCAATAGGTTGTGCAGCAATCTCTGCCTGCCAATGTTTGTGGTTAATGCTCCTGTCTCTCCAAGAGGTAGAGAGATCCTTAGTACTTGTGCCTGTGCAAAGTTGTTATGGTGCTTAGAGTGGCCCTTGAACACTAACAAATTTGAGGGCAATAGCAATTGTTGACAAACGTGTTAAAGTATCTTCACCACACGAAGATCAACATTTCTGTGCTTGGGATGGGGTCCATCTCTTTTAATATTTTAAATGTTACATTAGGTAACTTTTGTCTCAAGAAACAGAGATCTGCAGCAGGGTAGACATTCGTGGTAATATGCTAATAACAAATTATGTAGGAATATAAACTGAATAAACAAGGAGTTTATTCCTAATCCTTAAATAGAAAGGGGTTTTTGCAGAATTTAGGCCAAAGTAGTTTGCTTGGTTCACACATTGCAATCCCCTTGTGAGCAGCTGACAATATACTCTTGAGGGAATAAACTGTGAGTGTTGACAACTGAGGTTTTATTGTAATAGTCCTGATAGAACCAAAGCAATAACAATAGAGAAAAGTCACAGACATGATTGTCTTTAGTCTTTCAAATCGACTGCCATAGAAATAAAACAGCTGGTAATGCAACAGGATATTGGGTTGTAACAGAAAAGAGAATTGTTTTTGTGGTGCTTAACTGATGAAACGTTAAGGTCATTATAAGCATTGTCCTTATCATTTTTTTATTTTGCTTGTTTTGTCACAAGTACTTGTATGTCAGGATTATCTATTGTATATTGCTGCAAGATATGTTGGTGTCTTATTAAAAATAACTCCCAATATTTACAGTGACTTTTAATACAGAGTTTATAGACTCCTCTCTTAGCAAGAACTGGTGAATATTACTTCAGGGTATCTTTCAAAATCTAATTTAAAAAAAGGCATCTGCAATGTGATTTCTGAGTTTGTTTATGCTAATATTTCTGTGTTGATCATAGAAACATGCACAAACCGAGTGAATCACTCTGATACTCTGTATAAAGATGCTAATTATCTTTCATCTGATATAAAAATATACTGCTTCGTATACAAATTCGGAATATTTATTTCTTCCCTTGTCTGTCTTCCAGCAACTTGTATCAAATCCACAGTTTATCGTAGACGGTGCTACAAGAACAGACATCTGTCAGGGTGCTCTGGGTAAGGGGATCGGTTATAAATGTTAAATGCCTACAAAATGTGCAGTTACCTTGTTTTTGTGTAATATGTGTTTTATACAATGCATGCATATAAAATGCACGATAGTTAATGGCTGCAACTATTGTTTAGGCTCAAATAGTGGGCGTTTCAGGGTGTGACGTGTGTGTGTGTGGGTGATGGAGGGCGTAATATGTGTGGTTTTTATTAGGTGTGTGACACTGGGATTCCCTCAGGCCTCCCCTTCCCCCTGTTGGTTCACATTTTTGTTCCGTGACTCACTGCTCTGGTGTTGGGCGTGTTAAACTTTCTCTCTGTTTGTGTATGTGTGCTCTGTGTACATTGTTACTTGTGTTTAAATAGTTTTGGTTTATTATTATTTTTGCAAGGATGGGCATAGTGCCATACTTTAACTAAAACTTAGATTTGTTTTAAAGTGATGTGAGTTTTATTCGTTTTGGCAACTGCAGGTGGCTTAAACCTTTTTTTAAATTTTTCTAATTTTGTTTTTTCTCTTGTTCCATATGCACAGTATAATACTCGTATATCATGATTATAATACCGTGATATAACTGTCATGAGACTTGGTAGTCATGATTGCTTGCGTACAGATGCATATTGTATTAGATGTCAATTAGTATTATTAATATTATTTTGTCTGACTAGAGTTTGAAAAGAGGAAATACAAAGTGCCAAAAATGTCAACACAAGTAACATTCGTATGCAGAATTGCAATGCCCTCTTGAACATATAGTTATATTGATATGATAAGACAGCCTTATTATGCATGCAATAAATGTTTATATTGCTGTGTAATGCTTTTGGAATGTACCTGGTTATTATCGTGCTCATAATTCTTATACTTTTAGTCCTTTTCTTTTCATAATTTTTTCAAGCCTTAAAACCTTTTTGAATACGGTGTGTATGTATGTGTGTGTGTGTGTGTGTGTGTGTGTATATATATATATATATATATGTGTGTGTGTATATGTGTATGTATGTATATATATGTATATATATATATATATATATATATATATATATATATATATATATATATATATATATATATATATATATATATATATATATATATATATATATTTTCTAGGGTTACTCCAATTAGCTTCTTAAGTCTATTTATTTCTATTGTAGTAGTCTTATACTGTCTAAATATTTACATTTGTAGTCAAAATTATTTAACCCCCATTGAAAAGCAGGTTTGTCAACATTTACAGACTTTCAGCTGTTTGCAATGTACAAATCAAACAAAAGCATTTGAAATAACTTGAAACAACGAATGTTTCAAGTGGTTTCCCCAAATTCCTCTGAAAATGCAACTTATGACTTTCCAGTCTCAAAATTATTTAACCTCCTGAATAGAATCTATTCACATCCATCCACGGTAAAGACGGCATTGACGTGCGGGTAATTTATTCCTTAGCTCATTGCCCCGTCATGGTTTCCCTTAGATGGTTATCCGAGAGTGTGTTGCTGATCGTGTTTTTTTTACTTTGGTTTCGTTTTGACTTTCCTGATTTCTGGTACCCTTGACTTTTGGCTTTTCCTAATCGCTGTGTATAGTTCTGTGTCCCTGACCTCAGCTAGTTTTCTGACTATTCTCGTGTACGTTAAGTCCAGCCATTCTAAGGCCCGGTAAGACGTTACCCTTATTTCTCAGGTGTGATACTATTCTGCGTGCTGGATCAATCTAATCCTGACACTTATGCAACTAATCAACAGCTTAATTAGTTGCACCAGTTGCACTTGAGCTGGAACACTTGAAATATCTGACCTGACTAGGGGTTTGTTGAGTGTCACAATTAATTGAATGTTAGAATTATGGGTAAGTCAAAAGAATGGTCCACAGAGTTAAGAGAAGAGTTAATTGCCATTTACAAACAAGGAACAGGATACAAAAAGACTGCAAAGTCATTGAATGTTTCTAGAGACACCACTGGAAGCATAGTTCGCAAGTTCATAGTTGAAGTAACAGTGGTTACGGGGCTTAAAAAAAGGATTAATGGCTGCAACCAGATTTCTGATAAGGCCGGTTTTGAAAAACCCTTGAGTGATTGCAAAAGACCTACAGCAAGATTTGGTGGCAACAGGCACTGAGGTTTCAGTGAGCACAGAACTTTTCAGTGCCAGAAGGTTTCAATGCCAGAACTCCAAGGCGTACCGTGCTACAAACCCAAAAGCACAAGAAAAGTTGGCTCCAATACAATATGCTCGAAATCATATAAATAAGCCACATTAGTTTTGGGATTCTGTTCTGTGGAGCAATGAAACAAAACTGTAACTTTTCTGCCTAATGGATCAGCGGTATGTCTGGAGGAAGGAGAATAAAGCATACGCTGAAAAGAATACTCTGCCTACAGCCAAGCATGGTGGTGGCTCGGTAATGCTCTGGGGCTGCTTTGCATCCTCTGGCACGGGAAACCTGCAGATTGTGGAAGGCAAGATAGATTCATTGAGGTATCAGGAAATCCTTGGAGTAAACGCCATCTGTGAGGAAGTTTAACCCCTTAAGGACCAAACTTCTGGAATAAAAGGGAATCATGACATGTCACACGTCATGTGTCCTTTAGGGGTTAAGCTTGGGCGTCATTAGATCTTTTAACAAGACAATGATCCCAAGCATACCTCAAATTCCACCAAGGTTTGGTTGCAAATGAAGTCCTGGAAAAAATTTACAGTGGCCATCAAAAAAAATCTGATTTTCAATAGAGGTTGAATAATTTTGATTACAACTGTAATTGACCCCTGTTTTTCAAACAAATAAACTTCTTCAAAATACTATAAAACCTACCTGGAATACGGGCCAAACTCTTCCTGATAAATTCTAATTATACCAACTGTCAGTGTGCAGTGCGTTCAGACGACAAAAGTAATTTTTGCACAGGCCTAACTGGCAGTCCAGAGCAGAGTTCCAGTCTTGCTAAGCCATGTGTGCCACTGGAGCAGAAACACTGCACACACACACAGATTGCTTGCTTAACGACAATTAAATGCAGAAGTGGTCATGGAGGTTGGAGTAACCCTTTTAATTATGCTTTACATGTACCTTTTCTTGACATTTCCACCTTCACCACATTCTCCACCAAGTTTAATTTATATCATAATAGTTTGTAATTCTACTATTCATCCATTCTGCCTCCTTATTTCCCATTCTCATTGACCTCTCTCCAATCTCTCCTTTTCTTACCCTTTCTTCATGTCACTTTCTCTCGCAAGTTTCTCCCCTTTCTCCTCATTGTCTTGTCATTTGTGCCGTTATACCTCTCTTTTCTTTCTCCCACCACTAGCACCACTCTCCCTCTTCATTCTTTCACACTCACTGGTCTGTTACTCATCCACCTGCTGCCATACTGTTTCGCTTATTAATTCTTACAAATTCGTACCCTATATACATTTTCCATTCAACAACCAAATCTTCCTCCTTTTTATATTTACCATTCATCTACACCCACTTTTTCTTTCACTCTTCCTTTGCTCTCCACCTTTATCCCTTTTGTCTGCCTGTACTGTCTTCTTTCTTTCCACTCTCTATATTGACCATTTTTTAACTTTTTTCTGTTTTTACATTTACTCACCCACTCCTGTGATTCGTTGATTGATTAATTCATTCATCACCAGTAGACTTCTTCTTTTACCCCTCACTCATGAACCTTCACTCTTCACTGCTGTGTCTCTCTTCTCAAAATTTTCCACCTTTACCGGTTTCTCTTTTCCCATGAAGGTGATTGTTGGCTTCTTGCGGCGATTGCCTCTCTGACATTGAATGATACTATACTACACCGCGTAGTACCCCATGGTCAGAGCTTTCAGGAGAACTATGCAGGAGTCTTCCATTTCGAGGTAATGTAACATTCTTATAGTATACTGGATGAATATAGGGTATTGCATGCTTGGTATCTCCACAATATTTCTGCTTAATTCATGAGGACATTCCAAGCTCGCAAACATATACTCCTAGGTTATAATGGAAGAAGGTTTCCCTTCTCCCTGTTCATAATTGGGTATTTTTTTAATATATTTTTTTTTGCATCAGATACTGGTATTTAATGCTTTGAGAATACGTTTCCATCCAGAGTTAAATCGAGTACCAAAATAATTTTTTTTTCTTTTTTTTTTTTTTCTGCCACCATTTTTAAAAATTGTACCAGATACAAGCCTTTGGATGTCAGTGATAGTCTGAAAGTGCCTGGCCATTCATTGCTATCCAAGATTGGATGGTTTTGGATGGATAACTCAGAACTGACTCACTTCATTCAAGTGGCTGCAGGAGGGCTGGATTTGGGTTGCTGGGGTAGAGGCTGCATTTTGGGTGCTATTGGATGACATCAAAAGACTCATAGCACCATAACCTAATGACCTGTACTCGTTATGCTACTTAGAATGTCCCTTTAAATGTCAAGGGTAATTTTAATACCAGTAAATATAGATTAAGGGTAACCGGCCTGGAAGTAGTAGAGCAATCATGTTGGTCTTGTATATATTTATTATACCAGTTCATCTGCCCCCTTTTTTGATTTTTTTTCTTTATTTTAATAAATCAGTACCAATATTATGTGCAAAACACGTTCTCTCACATCAGATTTTAATCGGTGAAAGGGGTCTTGTTTTGCTAACCACGACAATGCCATTAAACTAAGCAGTTTATGATGGGCATTTGCCTGGGACATGAAAAAGTGCCAATTCCAACAAAATAGGGACCCACTAGTAGAGTAGTATAAGGTTCCAGTTTTATTCTAGGAATCACTGGGTTATACAGTCCTTTAGGAATAATCTAATTATATCGACACCATGTGGACATTCCTTTTATTACAGTTTTACAGCTCTTATTATTTATATTGTATAATTCTCAAGATGAGGCCATTTTATATCTATCTTTTGTGCATTACACTTGAGCAATGACACATTTTGGGATCACTTTTGTTACAGCTGTGGCAGTATGGTGAGTGGGTGGATGTTGTCGTTGATGACCTGCTGCCCGTTAAAGATGGGAAACTCGTCTTCGTGCACTCTGCATCTGGAAACGAGTTCTGGAGTGCATTGCTGGAGAAGGCATATGCTAAGTATGAGACTTTGTCATTTTGTGCCAACAAAACCTCCTGCAGAAATCACTGTTCCACGCTTCTTTCACTCTGAGGGTTCTGAATTTAACCAAAATACGTCCTATTTCAGACATGGGTTTTCGATTTATATTTTCTGTTGTAAACAAGTCTTCCTTTTTCAGCATAATATTCTCTGCCCCACAGATTTCCTCTTTCACACTTTATGTATCCCTATTTCTCATTTTGACAAACATTGTCCCTGTCTCTGCATACACTGGTCATTGGCTTCCCTTCCTGTACAGAGCTAATGGTAGCTATGAAGCACTTTCTGGAGGTAGCACATCTGAAGGCTTTGAAGACTTCACAGGTGGAGTCACTGAGTGGTATGAGCTGAAGAAGGCTCCTGCAGACCTGTTTACCATCATCACCAAGGCTCTGGAGAGGGGATCACTAATGGGTTGCTCCATTGATGTGAGTTATATGTGGATTCTTTGTATTCTATTCAATAACATTTTGGGTACCAACACAATATCCTCCCCTCCTATTTGTCGTTTTATTTTTTCTCCACATTACTTATCTCCTTATTTATAGCAATTTTTTGTGCTATATAATTCCCCTTTAAGCTCCTGTATAAGTACCAAACATACATGTTTTTCAGTGTGTGACATACATTAAAACGTATTAAAGTAAATGCAACTCTCATTTTTAGGAGCTATTGTTTGTTCCGTCTATGAAACAAGCATTACATACTTATAGTATAATATATTATTTTCCTATCTAAATTATTTTTATACATGTCATAGTTGTCTTCCTCTGTTCTTCCCTCATATCTGTTAGTCCACCCATTGTACAGCTCTATGGAATTTGCTGGTACTATATAGATAATAAAATAATATCATATGCCCCTTCTTCAAATGTTTCTCTTTCTTTTCTACTTTTGTTGGTTCTTCCTTTCTTTCTACTATCAACTTTCTCTACATGGTCCCTCAACCCCTGTAATCTCTTATGTTGCTTCTGGTGACAGATCACTAGTGCCACTGATATGGAAGCTGTAACCTTCAAGAAGCTGGTGAAAGGCCATGCCTATTCTGTGACTGGAGTCAAGGAGGTAAGTGTGGGTGTGGGGCATTTTTATTGATACGTATTGATTAACATTAATGTTTTGACTGTGCTATAGTAAATAAAAAGGTGGTAAAGGTTGTATAGATAAATTCTAAACTGGTAGTATCCACAAGAGGCATCCCTTATAATGCCAGAAAATCAGTGCCCTAAATACAAAAGGATGCACACCAAATTATATAATCAATCACTGGACACGTGTACCACAATAACCCCCCTACGTTTCGACACAAACATTGTGCCTTTCTTAAGGGACTGTCCCTTAGTTTTTTTTGCTTAATTATATACTATGGTGTTTATCCTTTTGTATTTCGTGTATTGACTGTGCTATAGGACATCACTACTTTATTTATTACATAGGATTAGGGAACACATGAATAAATTAAAACTGTACTAGGTTGAAATCAGCTGTGATTGTCAAATGCACATTCTGTACATTCATTGCTAAAAACAGAAAAAAAAATTAAAAAAAATTTCAGTAATTTAATTGGATTACACATTGCATGCTAATCCCCCAGATGTATAATAATAATAATAATAATAATAAAAAAAACCCTTTACTGAAAATCAGAAAAGCTGGCCCTGTATTAATTATCATAGCATTTTTGCAGAAGTCCATGAATACTTATAGGGGAAAATATCCTGGAAAATTGATAAATCCTAATACCTGCGTCTAAGTATTTTATGGATATAAATTACATGGAAACTCAAACCTGGGTATTCTAATTTGTTATATTGCAGTCCATAAATTTGCATTGGTAAACACAACGCATGAGTAAGAGTAGATTACAGATGTGAAACGCGTAAGGCAGCACTCCCCCCCTCCCCCTTTAATCTTTGTTATATTGTTTTTACCGTATAGTTATAAGAATCACAAATAATATACCTAGACTACCCATAATTAAAAGCTGCTGGTCATGTGGTCATGTGTCGGGTGTAATATTTTTTTTTAATTGTCCACAGGTCAACTACAGAGGCCAAAGCACAAAGCTGATTCGGATGAGAAATCCATGGGGTGAAGTAGAGTGGACAGGTGCTTGGAGTGACAGGTGAGAAGAATATAACGTTCTTAAAAATGACCATCTAGCAAAAACCTACAAATAATGTAATGTAGATCATTGTGTGGCAGATCACACTAAACAAAGATACTGCTCATCTGTAGACTATTTGTGATCTTTGCTTCTATGTAATGATAGAGCAATGCAAACTGCCCTTCATATAATTGCCCAGTTACCTTTAAGTCTTTCCATGCTAGAGCATGTTGATTATTATCTCTCTTTTCTGTAGTTCATCAGAGTGGAATAATGTGGATCCATCAGAAAAGGACCTGAGAATTAATATGGAGGATGGTGAATTCTGGTAAGGCGGATTCCGAGTCTGTAATTTTGGATTTCATACCAACAACATCTCGTGTATGTAGGTTGCCTTTTTCTCTTGAGATAATTGAGGTATATTTTCATAGGATAGGGTTTTTAAATTTTTTAAACCAACAAAAACAACTACTATCTTTTTTTAAATGGGAATTGAGCTTTTTGTGGTCATTTCTGTCACTTTTTAAGATCTGGGGAATCTCTATACACAATGACCTTAAGTGATATGCTATTTAGCTGCTGTTAATTTGTATCCACAATCTTGTTCCTAATTTATATTTACTTTTTGCTCTGTGTATATATATAAATTTCTGTGTGGTCCTGAGCATTACCAGTTTTTTGCTCCCTCAGTGGGACACCTCTCCATTTTTTTTATATATGTATATATTTGAAAAGGGTACATGCCGCAGCTAGCACTGGTAGTATCCTAACTGACAAACCATTATTTTAAACAGATTGGTTACTGTAATATCTATCTATAAAATAATAATCTTGGTTATGCTATATGACTTATACAAGGTTGTTCAGTTTGAACATTGGAAATTCAGTAGGATTCAACACTTAGCGTTAGTTTATATAGTTAGTTATATACATCTTATACTCAAACTTTGTTTTTAAAAAAAGAACAAACGGGTTGATAAGAAAAGGGAAAGTGGGGGGTGGGCGGGCAGGGGAGAAGTAGTAGGGTAGTAGAGGATGCTGTATTCAGGATGCCCAGATGATGTTGTTGTAGCGCTGCAAGGAATCCTGAATCTGTGTTGTGAGTTGTTCCATGTCTCTGATATCAGTCAGGATATTGTGCAATTCTACCTGAGATGGCAAATAATTTTTTTTTTTTTAATAGTTGAAATATGGTGGCCATCAAGCTGTGTGTGCTGATGACCGATTTCTAAAATTCTAATAGAAAACTTTTTTTTTTTTTTTTCGTCTGGGTTACCCTTCCTATACTGATATATGCTGTGCGTGCTGATGACAGAAGTCAAACTGCACGCAATTTACATTAGCAACCGGGGAACTAATGATGCCCCAATGACGATGCTGAAGGTGAAGTTACACCTCCAGTAGCAGCGGGGTTCAATATGAATCGTTCCACATACAGACTCCATGCACCAAGACCACTTCAAATCACTGAATTGGTATTGGTGCTTGGAGTAAAACTTTAAATAAAATAAAACAAAAAGCTGAAAAGGATATTATGCCTATTCTCAGCTAATTCTGCCACTCCAGTTGCTTTCTGGGGGATAGCTGTGAATATTCCACAAATCACTGCAAGTCTCTTCTCTTTACCCTACATTTTCACGTTTAGTAAATAACCCCCTAATGTTTCTATTCGTGTACTTTCATAAGCAGACACCCTGTCAGTCGTACAGAGGATACTGCTATACTGTGACCTCTTTCCTTAGGGCTGCTAGACTACATGTGTAAAAAAAATAATAAAAAAAAATGTTCTTGTGTGTCATGGACCCACTCCCATTGAACCCCATTTTGATTGTAGTTTGACAGAATTTCTGAAGTATTTCTGCCCGGTTTACCAAGGAAAAGCAGTAGCCACTCTCATTCATACAAGGTGATTTACTAAAGTAAGAATTGTCGGGAGTTCACGCTGAATTTAAAGTGAATTTCAAATTTAAGGTCAAAATTTATAGACTGGGATTCTCCAAGTCAGCAATGCTTCCACTTCATATTCTTTAGCTTTTTATTTAAAAATTAATTTTGAATCCACAGTGAACTCCAGACAATTCTCACTTTAGTGAAGAACCTTGATTGTGTTTTATTTGGAGTAACCTTCTTTAAAACAAACCTCTCATGTCAATGTGTAAATGGAAATTAATGCTGCTCTTAAAAATGAACTTCCATGGATCAGTTTTGCACTGGGGCCCCATGGGTTGTGTGTATGCCACTGTCTGCCAGTGATGGTATAATTCACTGCAAAGCAAAGAGGGATGCGCGTATGGGTACCTGTCTGTGGATCGCTACTTTGAAATCATCTGCTTCATGTTCTTCAGCTGCAAATATCAGACTATGTTTAATTTCCACTTTCACTGCCCGTATCTTGTTTTTTGTTTCTCTCTCTGCCATTTTCACTTTTCTCCATCTAATTTTCTTTTCCCTCTGCCTCAGGATGTCGTTTCAGGATTTTCTGCGTGAATATTCTCGTCTTGAGATCTGTAATCTCACCCCGGATGCTCTCAAAGCCCGCAGATTCCGAAAATGGAGCACAACCCTATACAATGGTTCTTGGAGGAAAGGAAGCACTGCTGGGGGCTGCCGAAACTACCCTGGTAACTAAAATCATTTTAGAAATGGACATTTTGAGCAGTACTGCAACTTTATAAACATGAGTGGAGCAGAAGCGTTTCCATTCCAGCACAGATTTCAACACAGAGATGCTTCCACATGTTTAAAAAGGAATATTATCACTTAGCCTTATATGACTAATTGATTTATGAGGAATGGAATACCCAATTTGAAAGTGCACATCCTTTGGTCTCTTTTGTTTGGGAAAGATAGAACATTCCACTCCTGTTGGTGAAACTGTAGATTGGGTAAATTAGGGTTGTAGGAATTTTACTTGTGTTGTATTGTTCTAAAACAGGAGTTTCATGAAATATATTTTATGAAATATTTAAAATATGTGAAAATCCCAAATATAATAAAAGCTTTGTTAGACATCTGTTCTCAATCCTGGGGGTTTCTCACATTCACATCTAATATTTGATCCATATTTCAGTCTTTCTGATTCGTTCATCAGTCACAGTGAGAGTATCAGATTAGCTTTTTTTCTTCTGAAATAGAATCCAGAAACTCTTGCACACATTATTTACTTGTGCACCTTGTAACTGTAGTTCTGGAGAAACCCTGTTGCAGAAAAGGCCTCATTACTACTACTTCTCTTTTTAGCCACATTTTGGGTCAACCCACAGTTTAAGATAAAGCTTGACGAGGAGGATGATGACGACGACTATGGTTCTGAAAAAGGATGCACATTCCTCCTGGCTCTTATGCAGAAGAACCGGCGTAAGGAAAAGCGTTTTGGGAAAGATATGGAAACCATTGGCTTTGCTGTCTATCAGGTATACATGCAGAATATAATTAAAGGTTTTGTTTGTACCTTTTTTTTTATTTTTTTTTTACTGGTAATACATTATTTGTAATACTTTGTGTGTAGTCTTTAATTCTTTATTCTTAAATAGAGGGACTGCACCCAAAGATATTGCAAAGACAGTGGTTGTCTGTTTAATTAACTACTACAATTACAGACTGCTAATACATTTGAGTAATTTACCCCAAGTGAATGTGCCTGTCATTTGTGAATTATCATTTGTGTGTGTGTTTGTGTGTATCTTATTTTTATATTGGTGTTAATGTTTTTGTGTGTGTGTTTTTTGGGTTCTAGGTTGTATCGGTATCCATGATGGGGTGAAAAATGATTGTAAAATCAATACTTTTTAAAACTGTTTTGGGTGAATAAAGACATGTTTAATAATCACTGATATACATTATTATTTATGAATACAATAAAATATTATCTGTTTTTCTATACATGAATGCACATTGTAATGCTCTCAGTCCTGGTGTATAACTTACCACACGGTTAGGCAACTTTTTTGTACTCCAGATGTTGTGGACTACATCTCCCATAATGCCTTTGCAGCTATATTGCTGGCAAAGCATGCACGCAGATGTAATCCACAACATCTGGAGTGTCAATGGTTGCCTACCCCTGACCTACAATATCATATATGTTGCCTTAACTTATCAATCAAGCAATTGCAAGACTTAGAGGGCCATTGTAAAAAACATTGTTGTTTTTTATTCTACTATTCAATGTTTTCGTTCCAAACCAAGGTCTTTTATTTTTCTTCTTCAAGATTATTCTGATACATGTAGATTTTTATTTTTTCATTTTAGCATGAATTATCCTCAGCATTATAAAGTGTGTTCGAAAGCTTAAACAATGTTACTAATTAGTGATTTTCTTTTTTTTTTTAAATCCACAGGTTCCTCCACAGGTATGTACCTCTTAAACATATGTGTCAAACCGCTTTACCATACTGAACCATGTTTTTGTTTGTTCATGTTTCATCTTCATAGTTATCCCTTTATCTTTTATGTTTACCCCTTTCATTTCTTTGTGTTTTTTATGAATATTTTCCCTACACTTGTTGCCTCTTTTATTAAGCTTTCACTTTTAAGTAAACTGCCTTAGTCTTCCTGTCACTCTGTAAAAATGTGTTTATCTCCCATTTTAGAACTTGATTACTGCTAATGGGTCTGCCTTGTTTATGGTCTCATGTATTTCTATCTAGTTCTCTCTTTATTTACTTTTCTATTTATTCTCTCTCTCTCTCTCTCTCTCTCTCATAATCTACACTTCAATGTCTAGCTGTGTCCCGACTCTTTTAAATTGTCTCCTTTCTCTCTCTTGGTGCCTCCTTTCTTTTTAAAATGTATTTATTTGTATTTTTTTTAATGAAATGTTTTGTAACATGTGCATCCTCCCAATTTGTTAGTATGAAGGAAAGCCAGCCGTGCACTTGAACCGTGATTTCTTCCTTTCAAACTCATCCCGTGCTCGCTCTGAACAGTTCATTAACTTAAGAGAAGTCAGCACCCGACACAAGCTTCCACCTGGGGAATACATTGTCGTACCTTCCACCTTTGAACCAAATGTTGAGAGTGACTTTGTCTTGAGATTCTTCTCTGAAAATAAACACGGAGCAGTGTAAGTGATGGTGTGCTTGATGGATTGGAAGGGAAAACTAAAGATTTAAAAAAAATATATCACTAGATCAAAGTGTGAATTTGGAGAGCATTAAGATTGGCATAGTATCAGAAAAAGGGGGAACCATAAATGTAGCAATAAAGCTCAAGTCGTGAGCTGGACAGAAAGTAAAAAAAGGGATCAATCAGTGTAGTGCTGACAAGCTAAAATGATGGGCACAAGTTATTTTGCCCCAATTCTTTCATTTTTATTGACTTGTCTCATTTATAAATCTCTCCTCTCTCTCTCTCCCTCTCTCTCTCTCTGCAGGGAAATGGATGATGAAATAAAGGCTAACCTTCCCACTGAGGTGAGTTTCCCTGGCACCCTGGTTTCTATCTACTATAATAAATGTATGAGATTATCTTGTAAAGAAGTTCTGACACTGGACTGACAAGGCACTTATGCACTGAACACAAAGATTTGCATAGCATGTATTGAAAAATCGCAGTTGACATTGTCATTTTTTTAATGAATTTCTTTTTGTAGTATATAAAATTATAAATAAATTAATTAAGCTGTTCATGTATTATGGGATAATAAAAAAATGTAACGTTGTAAATGTAGCCATGGTTGGTCTAAAAGGTCACCTACCTTGAACCTACAACCTGGATAATTTCTAGTTCTTTTCAATATTTGTGTAAATATCATATAATCTACAACTACAGAGTTTATAGGGGTATCAGGTTAAAGGTGCATGTAGAAGTCCTGTGTATAACTTGGAGACATCACCATCAGTATATTTTGCTCTTCTTACCTTATAAGCAGCATAGCATCACATGGTGTATAGACGTCTCCTGTCACTGTGTCGCAGCACATGGTGGTGTATAACTGCAGCAATTTGTAAAAATAGATGGAGGTATAGGGCTGCCCACTGTTCATCTAAGAACTATGTAATGTGTGTACAGCTTGCATATCCTTTGTGATGAGGACTGCTGCTAAACTGCATAATCCCTAATCTACGGCTCGACTAGGGGGATATACTATTATACACTATATTATTATTATTATTGTGCTCCAAGGTACAAACTCTTAACCAGCATGATCAATTGTTGTATGTATTGCTTGATGCAGTAGCTCTATTTCTTAATTAATTTTTTTCATCCATTTACAGGAACAATTATCTGAAGATCAGATTGATGATGCATTTAAAAATCTTTTCAAACAGCTTGCTGGGGCGGTAGGTATATGTAGCTGACTAATTTGTGTGATGTGTAATGTCGATGTGCTGCTGATTTCTGTGTACACATGCTAAATACCTGTATTCCTATGCTGGAGTATTTGCGTATAATTATGGCTTCCATTGCTTCATTCTCTATTTTCTATTCAAACAGGATCTGGAAATTAGTGTTACAGAATTGCAGTCAATATTAAACAGGATCATATCAAAACGTGAGTGTGTTTGTGTTCATATGTATTTTGGTTAGTGACTTTCTTCACTTCGTCTAAAATGTAACTCTTATTTCTAATCCAGATAAAGACCTCCGTACGAAAGGATTTAGTTTGGAATCTTGCCGTAGTATGGTGAATCTAATGGATGTATCCTTTTAAATAGCTCTTTCTGTTTGTTCCCCTGGATGATGCCAGCTTGTGCTGATCTTTGTTCCTAATTGTATTTAATTATCCCTCTGTTTTACTGTGATACGCAATATTATATTAATTTAAAAAAAAAAAATTTACTCTCAGAGATGGTAGATATTTGCTTTGTTAGGCTTAATCAGTATCTAAAATGCCACTCCCTTTTGGTGGATATTATCATCCACTTCCTGTCAGAATACGTCCTAATTATTTTTGGCAGAATGTAAAATTTTTTTGTGCACATCTATTTATTTCATTAGTCACCTTGCTTCTTTTGATAGCAGTTTCCTGATAGGCTCTCAGAAAGCGCCTTACACATCCAAATACCCATTCAAAATGTAACAAACATTGTTTAAAGGACATTTAATGGGTTCATACAATTTCATTTTATGTTAATTCATATTTGACTAAAAATTTGCATTTCAGGCCAAGTTTCAAAATCCTTGCCTAGTAAAGGATTAAAAAAAAAAATATTTAAAAAAAAAAAAAAAAAGTAATATTTAATTCTAGAAATAAACTCAACTTTTCACAAACATTCAGAATGGTGCACATTTCTCCACAGTTCAGCCTTTTTTTTTTTCAACAATAACACCCCCTTAAAAGAACAAACCAAAACATAACAGAGCAGAGTAATAACATTTCGCACAAGACATTAAAGGGACACTATAGTCACCAAAACTACTTAAGCTTAATGAAGCAGTTTTTGTGTATACATGTCTATGGAGTTTCACTGTTCAATTCTCTGCTATTTAGGAGTTAAATCACTTTTCTTTTTGTTTATGCAGCCCTAGCCACAACTCCCCTGGCTGTGACTGACCGCCTGCATGAAAACAAAATGGTTTCATTTTAATTCAGATGTAACTTACTTTAAAAGCGTTTTAATCTCCTCCTCTATAAATTGCACTTTACATGGGAGGCTCCTGTAGGGTGTAGCAAGCTATTGACAGAGCAGGAGATAGAAATTCTAAATTAAATTAAACAGAATTTGCAGTAACGGAAGTATAAACATTAGATTACTCTTTACAAGAAGTGTTTGGGAAGGCTGTGCAAGTCACATGCAGGGAGGTGTTGCTAGGACAGCATAAATAAAATGATTTAACTCCTAAGTGGCAGAGAATTGAGCAGTGAGACTGCAGGGACATGATGTATACACAAAAGCTGATTCGTTTAGCTAAAATAGTTTTGGTGACAATGTTGTCACATTAAGCTACAATATATAGGTGTGGCGGTACGGAAACCGGGACCCCTGAGTGCCTGATGTTGTGTGGAGTCTCAGCGTGGTAATGGACTATTCGGGCGTGGTGCAGGGTAACCACATGCCCCCTGGTGTTGAGCACCAGCCTTTGTGCGGCCACATACCAGAGCCCTGATGCAGCTACTGCGGATCCCAGGAACTAGGAGCATGGAAATTAGCAGACCTCACAGGAGCTGAATAGGGAGGCTCTGCAGCAGGGATGTATCCAGTACAGAAACAAGGCAAGGGTAGGATAGTCATCAAACATGAAAACAAGACAGAACTAGAAGAACCCAGAACCAGAGAAGGACAGAAAGCAGAACATGTAGACAAGACCTGAGGAAAACAAGAACAGGGCAGGGCAGGACAGGACAGTACATGAACTGGGATTACAAAATAAAACAAGACAAGATATAATAGGCAAAACAAGAGGAGACATAACTAAGCACTATATATGAAAAGTATGGGGATTTAGTCACATTATATGATCATACATTGCATAAGCCTGCCACAACGCCAATGTACCCCATATTCGGCAGGTCCTACTCTGCCTAATGCAAACTAAACCAACCAAAGAAAACACACATAGTCCTTACCTGCAAGAAAGGGCAGAAGACTTGAGCAGCTGCCTGCAGGAACACTGAAACAAAAGGAATGATGGAAAACAAACAGGTGTGGCAACATAAAACAAACATTTAAATGAATCCAAGAGACTGGGAATTCCAGGGACGGATTACAGGAATGAACCCAGAAAAATCCAGCATAAAGAAAACCAGACAAAGAATAGAAAACCAAAAAAACAAGAAAAACTAAAAAGAGTACTGGATACCAGAAGCCAAAGCCAGACATCTCCGCAGAACATGGCATGATGTGACAATAGGTTCTTCTCCTGTCTGTGAAATTTTGGGCGACTGTTCTAAAGAAGGATGTTATGCCACTAGAAAAATTGCAGATGCAGGCTGCAAAATTGGTAAAAGGAATGGAGCATTATAGTTATGAAGAGAGGTTAACAAATTTAAATCTAGTTTGGCCTCAGAGGGGATATGATAGCATTATACAAATATATTCGGGCCAGTACAAACTATTGTCTGGAAACCTATTCATGAATGGGACTATACATAGGACACACGGTCACACATTTAGATTGGAAGAAAGGAGATGTAGTGTTAGGCATAGGAAAGTGTTTTGTTTTTTTTAATCGTAAGAACAATAAGCATATGGAATTATCTGCCTAAAGAGGTAGTTTTATCAGAGTTTATACAGATGTTTAAACAGCATTGGATAAATACTTGCAAAAGGATAATATACAGGGATATATGTTATAATTAGTGAGGGTAAATCTTCTTGATCCAATGAGACATCTGACTGTTATTCTGGGGTCAAGAAAGGATTTTTTCCTAGTTTGTTGTTGTTGTTTTTGCTGTTGATTTTTTTGGATCAACCTCAAAACCAAACGTGAGAATGGCTGAATTTGATGGATGCATGTCTCTTTGCAGCTATGTAACTATGTAAGTTAGTAAGTTTTGAAATACATTTAAGTTAATCAAAATTGTCTGAATATATGTAAGTTGAAATATGCTTGAGATTCAGTGTGAATCTTGCAAACCAGTGACAAGCTGCATCTTTCCTGCTTTATATACTTTTTAATTTCATATAAAAAAAAAAAATCTATTTGTTGTTTTATTTCTGTAATTATTTACCAAATATAATCTGGGTTTAAGAATCAGAATTCAGTGTTGACACATGGCCTAGAATAAAATTGGATCAAAATTCTTTACTCAAAAGGGAAAGCATTTTAACTTTTTCAGATGATAAAATACCTTTATTATTGATGTAATTACTTTCCCACTCTGATTAATTTGGTTCTGTGCTTTCCTGGCAATGTTCTAAGTATTTGTGGTACATGGACGATCTACTGGTTCTTCATTACAAAAAATATATTGTACAGTGCGTTCATGCTGCCATTTCAGGAAGAAACATTGGAGTTTGTATAATTTTTGCTAGGTAACACATAACACATTTAATAATTGAATCATGGTTTTATAATTGTGTTTTAATAGTAGATAGTTTCCTTAATTCTTTTGTCACAGAAAGATGGTAATGGAAAATTAGGACTGACAGAGTTCAATGTCCTGTGGAATAAAATCAAGAGTTATCTGGTAAGTCCTAAAAATATAGATAGAAAGTGGTAGTTTCTTTATCAGATCAAGAGAGACTGATTTCATAAAGTGGAACCATGAAACAGTAATTTTAAAATCTTTGGGTTAAGAAAAGTTATGGAGCAATCCACATTTATAAAAATTGCAGCTGTCTTGGTACATGTTTCGTTAATATTTTTGTTTTGTGGTCAAAAAAGTTAATCCCATAATTTAGAATGTGCACTATAGCTTGAACAATTGTTTTGCTATTTGCAGTTGCGTATATTCAGGTTAAAATGGCACTGTCATCACATCCCTGAAAAATGAATATTTCATCAAAATAAATGATGAAATACTTTATGAAATACTCATTCTAATTTTGTTGGAATTTCACTGACATTCCAGCCCATTCAAGAGATATTCAAAAACAAAGTAGGGACTAGTGGGTCTCTGTATTTCTCCTCTGCCTGACTTACTTAGATTAAAGGCAGAGTCTAAAATTAAATCCCGATGGCCATCACCAGTGTTGGCCGCAGGGAATTGGCTGAGTCTATAGAGGATCTCTTGGAATCCTCCATAGACCTCACTGCATGCGCGAGAGTACAGCCGTGGGATCGGTTCTGAAGAGGGTTCGCCTCATCAAGATGGCCACGCCAGCGAGAGTCAAGTTCAGGTGAGTAAATCAAACCTTTACCTGCTTTAACTGCCCCCCTCCACCACCGGCCTCCGTACCCCCAGGGGCAATGTTACTATTGGGACAAGTCCCAAAATGGCGACCGTGACGCTTTAACTGTACCTAAATTAATTAGAGATCTTTCATCTTTGTAAGTATATAAACACTATATTTGTGTTGAGAAAAATAATTACTGAATACACAACCACACATTTTTTGTTTTGTGGAATCTTTTTTCCATTTGACCTTTTAGTAAATCTCTGTCCGAGATATACAGGATGCCATACAAAGTATCTAGGCGATGATGGGGTATTCAGATTTGTATGAGGGTAGTCAGAAAATTCTTTGAAGGACAGTTTTTTGGTCATGTGTAAGCTGATGCTTTATTTTTTTCCCCACTAACTAATTAGTTGTGATAGTACTGTAAACAGGAAATGGGGACAAGACAAAGGAATAGTTGATCTTTCTCCAAATAACGAACAATCAAAGTCTGTTAGTGACAGATCACATCATGCATCATATTGCAATATAATGATGAGTGCAGCAAGTGCACAAGACAAAATGAAGGGAAGCAGTGAGAACAGGGTGAAAATGAATTATTGCACTTGGAATGATTCCAAGTGCAAACTAATAAAATAAATAATAGTCTATAGTTAATATATTCCAATGAAATCCTATATTAACGGTTTTACATATGGTAAGACACAGTATTTCAATCACATGCAGTGAACCTGCCTGGAAATTTCACAATTATAAGTACAAGATATAAGCTAAGACTACATGTCAGCTAAAAAATAAAAATGAAGACAAAATAAATGGAAAAAAAGAGAAAAAAAAATCTATCTGCAAACAGTGTTACCTTTACACAGTGGTAGTATTGGGTTTATGCATAAAAACAATTGTGTGACAAAGTTACAAAAATTCAGCAATCCGCAGGGACATTCCATTGAACAGGATATTTGTTTTTAAATCTAAACTGTTAAACTTGATGCATAACTCCCAGTGGCTAATAAGTATTCTGCTTCCTATTTGAGTAGAACCAAGACATTTTAGAGATGGTAAACAACAATCTTGCCTCCATCATACTGCTGTACATTGGGCATTTCCTGATTTAATTGTTTTGTATTACAGACCATCTTCAGACAGTTTGACATGGACAAATCCGGAAGTATGAGTGCTTATGAAATGCGTATGGCGGTTGAGTTTGCAGGTGTGTTTTGGCAGTTTTGAGTTTACATTTTGATAATTAGCAAAACATAGTGATAATAACAAGAATAACAAGCAAATCCATTTCACCAGCTACATAATAGTTGGATGAATCGAATATACTTGATGTTCATAGTAGTTGTCTATTTTTTCCAGGATTCAAGCTGAATAATGGACTGCATCAGCTCCTCGTCACCAGATATGCAGAGCCTGATTTGGCCATAGATTTTGATAACTTCACATGCTGTCTAATCAGGCTGGAGACCATGTTCCGTAAGTGGCTACACACTTTCCCTTTCTGGGGTGTCATTGAATTTATTCCAGGCATTATTTGATGTATACCACTTCCAGGCCAGGTGGGTGACTTTCACCCTCTAGGTATGCATTTTTTTTCTAGACTAGTAGATCGGGAAGTGCGGAGTAGCACACAGGTCTTGTTTTACGGTATATTGTACAAGTATGAAAAGATTTGTACTCACATTATTAAACCATACTGGTTCAATTTGATAGTGTTGTTTATATTGCTCCATGATTCAATTCATGTCTAGTATGCAAAGTCCAATTTTTACAATACTTTGTCAGAACGCATAATAAACTGTGGCAAAACCTGCAAGTTTTGTGTCGAGTTTTGATAAATCTACCGTTGTAAGCATACTAGGTCCACCCCACTGATCATTGGTTACTACTCTTACCTTGTGCTTTTTTTCTTTTTCTTCTTACAGGATTTTTCCAGAATATGGATTCAGACAAGGATGGAGTCATTAACTTCAACCTGTTTACAGTAAGTCATTTCTGAGACTGTCACATCTTTATTTGAGATCACATATATATGTATTCGATCTATCTCAATCGTTGTCACTTGTAGATTTCCCAAATTTCATGACTTTAATACTGTTTATGCCTTATCTCAGCCCTTTTTCTTAACCCTTACACTATTAAAATCATGAATACATAATTGGCAAAGTTGTTTTCATATTCTTGTATCATGCATGCACGAGTTGCACATGAAAAGTGTTTGTTTATTGTAAACAAGTTTAGTTTGCAAAATGTGTTTTTAGTATTGCCTGGGGAGCTTACGCACAGTGGTTGCATGAGCCACAAAAATAGGAACACAAGAGACACAGTCTGTGTACGGTGGTCTGCAGGAAGTCCTACTTTGTGTCATGCTGCGCTGTATTTGTCAATGCTTACCTTAGTTGGGAGCCCGGTAGACAGAGATTTGTGCTCACCCTTGCAGATAAACACAGCCCATGGTAACCAGATCAGACGCTACCTGGGCTGTGAATCTGTGCACGGGGTCTTAGGCAGGAACAGTAGCCGGGTACGAGGAAACAGACAAGGGCAAATCCAGAAGAGTAATAACGAATAATCCAAACAGAAAGGGTCACAAGCCAAGTCAGTCTTAGGAAACAGGATACAAGAAACAACGAACTTACAATGTTCTCAGAGAGGGGCAGTGTTTTATGCCCAGCTAATGATTGAACTGCCTCAGGTCAACTTAGATGGACAGGTAGGAGCCACTGGTGATGTCTGTATCATAGATTAGTATTTAGAAATGTAGTTTTAAAAGCTGTTTTCTTATTTGTAATTCAATTATGCTGTAGGTTAAATTTGGAAACGTCATGTCCTTAAATGAGAATTAGCAAAGATATATTCTTTTTTTTTGTTGTGCTCTCTATAATGCATATACAAAAAAACATACACGTTACTTTCCAGGACAAAAACAAACCAAAAAAAATCAAACGTGTTCCTGTGGTCATGTTTTGACCCATTGCTTGGTTTTGGATAATTGTGTATAAATTGATATATCTTCTTTTTTTCAGTGGCTTCAGATGACAATGTTTGCATAGTGAAACCTTCTCTGCGCATGGGCTGGATCCTACAATACTCCTATAACCAATTGCAAGTGCCTTCCGCTCCCTGCCGCTGTGCCAAAGCAATATGTTGTGGATATCTCTCTCTGGTGTATACTCTTGTGTGGTCTTGCTCTTGCATCTTTATTTTTCCATTGGCCATAAACCATTCAATTCTCTGTCCTTCGCCATGGCTCCTCATCCCATCAAAAGACTCTTCTCTCCCATCAAGTCATAGTAAATGTGTTCCACTACTTGATCAGAGAGATATCTATGCAGCATGACTCCTATATCCATTATATGCTAAATTATTTATGGGTATATTGTTGTGCCTGTTTGGGTCATGCTTGCAACTGGATGCGCATAGTTACATTATTCTGTTTTTTTAATACCTTTTTAGATGCCAAAAGAAAAGTATGTCAGTCTGTACCAAAGCTAGTCAATGCAATATGTAGACACTCCAAATAAATGTTGATATCACTTAGTATTGCATAGATCTTATAATACATATTTTTCTACATGTTTAAAAAAAAAACAGAAACTTTTTTGTTCTTTGTTGTGTACCACGGTGATGTAATGAAATGACCAATGACATCACTGTAAAAAGCAAAACATATGGGGGCGAGTAAATTTGGTGTCTGCCTTTTTATTTTATACTGACAATCAATACAAGTCTGTCACCAGTTTTGGGTAAGTACCAATGTTAGCAAAGGTTGGGCATTGCTGTCGAGTTTGTCTCATTTGATACTAAAAAGCCTTGTGAGCTTCAACGCCTTAAAATTTTTTGGATAGATTGATTTTTTTTTTTGTTAATAATGTCATTGTCGTTATTGGCACGCTATTCTGTGGCTAATTAAGAGCCTGTTTGGTCATCTATTTGTCATTGATCAAAAATAGGAAACATTTTGTTTATAGTTAGCGTTTATTCACAATCATTGTATTAAGTCAATTTATTAAGAAAAGAGAAATAGTTTGTAAACATTGGAGAGGAGAGTTTTTCTCTTCTTTGGTTTTTCTTGACATTAAATATGTTCTATTTTTATTTTAAATTAGACTATTATTAGACCACTTGTAAACAACAAAGGTATAGTTTGCAGAAAAGACACTTGTGTGAGGTTAACCTTATTGCCTTCACCAAAATAAAAAAAATGCACATATAAGTGAAAAACATCTACAGACAGTGGAAGGCTAAAATGGTGTATCTTACCCTTTAATAACAGTGGTATATAGACAGGAGAGCATTATATGCAAAAACAAAATAGACAAAATATAGGGCAGATGGTTCAATGTCCACAAGTAAGGTATAGCTCAAATAACTAGGAACACTCACATGAAGCAGGGCACACTCAAAAGTGACAAGAAAAAAGACAATAATAGTGTGTGTGTGTGTGTGTGTGTGTGTGTGTGTGTATATATATATATATATATATATATACACACACACACAACTCTGTATACTGTATACCCATAACTGTATACCAGTGGATGAGGGTGCTCGATACTGCTATACTATGGAGAGGTAATGAAAGCTATAACAATATTTATTAATACTCTCATATAAAAACAATAAAAGTGCAGTAACAGCAAGAATTAACAAAGTGCCAAAACACGTTCTGACGATAATCTAGGCTTTTTCAGTCAGCTATTAAGAAAAGAGAAATAGATTTGTAAATATTGGAGAGATCCTTAATATAAGTCCTTATATAGGTCGTAAGATTTTATTTTCTTTGTTTTTTCTTGACAGTCAATAAATGTTCTATTTTTTTAATTTAAAATTAGACTATTGTCAGACAACTACAGTATATACTCGAGTATAAGTCTAGTTTTTCAGCACATTTTTTGTGCTTAAAAACCCCCACTCGACTTATACTCGAGTCACTGTCTGTATTATGGCAACTTTGAGACCCGTGGCAACAATCCGCGCGACAACCAGACCGCGAGACTTACAGTGGAGCTGACCGGAACGGAGGAGAAGGGAGCTGACAGGAGCTGCAGGAAAGTTAAGTAAATGCTTCCTGCTGGCCCCCCACTTCACAGCCCATGCCACTGGACCACCAGGGATTAAGATAGCCCCCCTCCCTGACCGGTTAACAAGCAGGGAGGGGGGACAAAAACAAATTAAAATAATAAAAAAAATAATATTAAAATTAAAAAAATTAAAATAATAAAATTCCCTCCCCCCACCCAGTTCACACACACTACACAAACACACACTCTTCATTATATACACACTCTGCATTATATACACAGAGTGTGTGTATATAATGCAGTGTGTGTGTGTGTGTATATAATGCAGAATGTGTGTGTATATATAATGCAGAGTGTGTGTTTGTATGAGTGTGTGTGTGTGTGTGTGTGTGTGTGTATATAATGCAGAGTGTGTGTTTGTATGAGTGTGTGTGTATATAATTATAAAAATCACAGAATTTCATAGCCCCAAGTTTTACCCTCGACTTATCCACGAGGCGTAGCATATGTCACAATTGCTGGTCACAAAACTGCACTCGACTTATACATGAGATCGACTTATACACGAGTATATACGGTAGTTATTTGACTGTCTTCAGAATAATTAGGAGTTACCGGTTTATCCTAATTTTCCTGACCTTTTTTCAGACTGTGGCATATATTGTCTAGCACCAGGATAGGCAACTTTCGTCACTCCAGATGTTGCTTATTACATCTCCCCTGATGCTTTGCCAGCATTATGGTGATGAAGGCATTATGGAAATGTAGTCCACAAACATCTGGAGTGCCGCAGGTTGCCTACCACTAGAGCATGTCTTTTTGAATTGATCAAATCTGAACAAATTATTGTATCTGTGTTTAGGAATTTGTCTTTAGTTCTATCATTGTTACAATAATAGACAAAGCTGAAAAATTATATATTTTCTCTGATCTAAAAAATAAATATAAATAGAGAGAAAGCTATATAAAAAAGAGCCAATTTTTAGCAAGAAAAAACAAGACCTGAGTTTCTTTAGGTTTTAGCAATAAATCCTGCAGTTATCTAAAGATAATGTATCAATATGTAAAAAATAGAGGGACACAGCTGTATAAATGTAGAGACAGAAAATTATAGGTCGCACCACACAAATAATATGATATAATAAAACTAATTCATACTTACATAAAATGCTTTAAAGGGAACAAAGTCCTGAATAAAAGTATATAAATAAAATGGCCAAGTTGATTGAAGAAATGAGTGAGTACAGTAGATCTTATAGGTTCTGAGATAATCCGATGTCCAGATGAGGCATGCAGATAAGAGAAAAAGTTCCAATAGTGTTAAACTGTAGTAAAAAGACAAAATATGACAGTAGTGGTGTTCCTCCTACTTACCTATTCGAGAGCTAGAGCCAGCTCAGGTGTAAACAGCATTCAGTGGCGTTGCTATCCTATTGGTAGGATATACGTGTTGGTAGGTAGTGAAGATCCTCGATATGTGGAGGGAAAAAATAAAACCAAATAGTGCTCTCTGTACGCAATAACAGGTGATTGGTAATTTAAAGGTATAATACTCACATGCAGGTGAGCAGGATATGCTGCTCACCTTAATAGCGTGGGTGGTATAATCCCCACCTAGGATTCTTGAGTGAGTGGATATTCCAGAGTATTAGATGACCAGGTTAAAAAAAAAAAATATATATATTGGAAAAAAAAAAGGGATATGGCATAGGCAAAGTATTGGGCCAATATTCCTTTAATGGCATATATTAAAAAGGGTAAGAACAGTAAAAAAACTGCCAAAATGCGTTTCGCCACACAGGCCTTCATCAAATGGCAATAAACACAGCTGTATAACCTAAAGGTAAAAAAAATAAAAATACATCGTGTAATACAGTAAAAACATACAAGACTGACATTCTAATATTTTGCACCCACAAAAGGTTGAGTTGCCTTATGGGTGCCTCCCCCATTGGTGCGGGGTGGCAAATTACCCCTTTGCTCTTACTGGTAGTTGAATTTAGGAACCAGAAGGACCAGGAATACGGTAAATTTAATACCATTTATTTTGAATAACAAAATATCAAAATAGGCGTGTTCCTAGGTGTTTCGTTCTATTAATGACTAAATATTTGTGGGTTTTTGACACTGCCTCTTTATCTTTCAGTGTCTGATCTAATTGGAGTAATGTACAGGACAGGAAAACTCCTGGCCACCATGTGTGTAAGTGGAGTTAGGAGAAAATGGATAGACAGGACCTCTGCCCACTGGAACATGAGATACAGTGTCCTTGTAGTCAAAATTGTGTTTTACAAAAAAACAAAATTGGCATAAATACTGATGGATGGGGGACATGCAGGAAGAATACATGCTCGTAAGCCTGATGCAGTTTCCATTTTGAGTGCAAGTACGCTGTATGTAAATTTCTTGATGGTTTTGGAAGGTTTTTTTCCTGAATGAGGTATCTAAAAAAGCAACTATTTGGAACAGTCAGTTTTGGATGCATCTATTTATACATTTGTATTATTTAAAAGTATTGCTGGGGTAGCTATGGACACTGTATTTTTGTTTGGCTTGTTACTGGAAATTCAGGTCCTGTTTGGTAATGTTGGACAGTTCGTTCGACACAACACAACAAAATAATTTTTACAATATTACTATGTTATGCACTTTTACTATACTTAAAGCGTGGGACACATTCCCATAGAGCAATTTTTTTTTTTTAATTAAAAGAATTTCAAAATATGGAAAATTTAACAGTCAAAAGGCTTATTTTGTTTATTCATGAGCAAACTAAAATAGCTAAAACACATTTCTAAAAAAAAATAAAAATAATATTTTGCAGTGCACGTGATAACAGACAAGTTTGCGATACCATGACAGTAATGGCAAGTAATTAAAAAACAGATATAATAAAACATTGTCATGGAATCAGAAATATTGGCACATATTTTTTTAAGGATAAGACAACCTCATGTAGGGCTGACATGACTAGGACATATTTTCATTTGCGAACTAGTAGTCTAAGAGTAATATCTGGACATTAGAGGTGAAAGAGTGAAGCTTAGTATACCAGGCTAGGTATACTTGTCTGACTATATAGCAAGAGATATTCTCAAACAATAAAAGCTCCCTCCAGACATGAGAGAGACAGGGTAGGTAAGTATTTGATTAAACATGCTGAACTAGCTGATAGAGCAACAGGCCACATCATAATAGCCATTAACTATGAGTGAGTAGGGCCATGGTGATAACAGGGATCGTAAACCCAGAGGGAAGCCGTTAAGGTTGGCCAGAGCAGTAACACACGTCGCCCACACTGACCTGTCAAGCCTTCACCCAATATCTATACTGGCTCTTAGAGTCTCGTAATGAGACAGAGCCCCAGCAATCCAAAACTGGCCACTCCGGCCCCAGGTCTCCACAAGAACCCATATGCAGTTCCCACTGCTCCGGTCACTCTGCACTGCGAGTGAGGTCTAAGTTGGTTCTATTCACCGCCTTAAATTGATGTTGCTTCCTCCGAGGGTGTGGGATGGGCATCAAGGTTATCCCCCTCCGGGTCCTCAGCCTACGAAGGCAGTAGTGGGTGTTGGACAACTTGGGATGCGAGTGAGCAAACTTTATATGGACTTTTTTCCCCTTTGGCTTCTTATGATCCACCATCTTGTTGCAGACGCTGCAACAGAGCGCGTGTTTCAGGAGTTGCACAGTACCATTTCCAATTTCTTGGTAGGACAGGATAGTTTTAAGTACTCTATAGGTAACCAAATCAGTTAGTCCACTTGATAGATTGTCTTTTGAGGTTGGCATATTATTTATAGGTTTCTTGACTCTCTTGTAGTGTCGATTGGGCCCATAGAAAACCTTGAACTAGTTGCTGTAAATGGACCGTGACATCTGGAACAGGTGTAAGTGGGGGACTTCCTGGAAGGGTATTGGAATGAAAACCATAATTCAACATAAAAGGAGATTCCGGGGTGGAATCATGTTGCTTTGAGTTATAGGCAAATTCAGCCGTAGATAAGTCTATCCAATCAGATTGTAGATGGGTACAGTAACAACGGAGGTATGTTTCCAGGGTTTGGTTTGTTCTCTCGGTCTGTCCGTTGGTTTGGGGATGGAAGGCATTGGAAGTCTACGGATATTTTGAGTGATTGACAGAAGACTTTCGAGAAGTGGGAAGTGAATTGCGTTCCTCTGTCTAAGAGGATAGATTAGGGAATTCCATGAAGTTGAAAAATGTTGTCGAGAAAAAGGATGGCTGTTCATTTGTCGTAGGGAGTCCTTCAGCTGGAACAAAATGTGCCATTTTTGTTAGACGATCTACAACAACCATAATAGTATCATATTCTTGTGAAATAGGGAGGTCTACGATGAAGTCAACGGTAAGATGACTCCATGGTCTGGAAAGGACAGGTAATGGTTGTAATAATCCAGCAGATTTGGCACAGGCACAAGTCATACAAGAACTGACATAGTCCTTGACATCTTGTTGAAGAGAAGGCCACCAGAATTGCCGTCTCATACTTTGTAATGTATTCCTCTGTCCTCCTTGACCGGCCAATTGGGTATCATGATAATGGTGGAGCACTTTAAGATGTTTTTTTTCAGGTACAAAAATCTTGTCTGAGACAAAGCGTAACCTTCAGGTGATGTGGTTAGATTATTGGAGGTGGTAGTTTTCACTTATCTCTTGTAAGATAAGATGTGAGGCATGAGTATAACAAAGTGATGTTCCTGTAATATTGTTGTTTCTAGTTTGGTTTTATCTATTTCAGAAGAATACATCCTTGAGAGTGCATTAGCCTTTTGATTTTTTGATCCTGATCGATAGGTGACATGAAAAGAAACAAGTAAAAAAAACATCTTGCTTATCAAGGGTTAAGATATTTGGCCGTTCTTTTATGATCAGTTTATAGAGTGATAGGGTATTTAACACCTTCTAATAGGTGTCGCCATTCTTCAAATACTTTCTTAATGGCTAGTAACTCCTTGTCTCCAACATCATAATTGGATTCTGTATCTGTTAACTCCAGCACAGCATAAGAGGGAGCAGGGTGCAAAAGCGGAGCGGCCGCCCCCTAGCGCTTATCGGCATGTATTATCTTTAGAATTCCCACAGTAATCCAAGTAACAGTTGAAGCGATAAAAAGAACCATAACAGATTTAACGAGCCATTCGCAGTTTCGCAGTCTGGTGACCGGGACCCAGGCACTGTCTGGGCGGCGGTCGGACGACCGGGACCCAGTATGCCTGATGTAGAAGGTAGGAGTCACAGTGTGGAATGGATTAGCAGGGTCTGGTGCAGGGTAACCGCATGCCCCCTGGTGTTGAGCACCAGCGTTTGTGCGGCCACATACCAGGACCTTGATGCAGCTTTAGTAAAAAGAGTACTGCCATCACCAGACTGATCCGCAACTTGGAACAGGATGTGACATTCACTGTAGCGGCTGTGCGCTTTCGACTTTCTCACCCTGCTGCTGCTCGCCTGTCTGCGCTGCAGAGTAACTTTGGCCTTCCCGCTCACTGCCTCATATGCGACATGCCCACAAGGTGGAGAGACTGTTTGAGCAGCAGCAGGCGATAGTGGAGTTTTAGCTGCAGAACGCACGGGTCAGTGGCTCTGCACCAGACTTGACCTCCAATTGATCAGAGTAAAAAGTGGACTCATTACAACTACAGGGCCTCTAAAGAGTCCCGTATTGTTATTTGTCATCACTACCTTCCCGCGTCGGGAGTGGGTCATTTGCGCGCCTGCTGCCTTCCTTGCATGTGGCAGCTGTTTGTCAGGGTTCCTGTACAGAATCGAATCATGATTCCCCGTTACCAGTGGTCAACATGGTAGGCGCAGTCAATAGCATCGAAAGTTGATATGGATTGACATACGAATGCATCGTCGCCTTCTCGTTGGGGAGCACATTGAAAAAGTGCTCTAGCATGACGAGCTGAGTGATCTCCTCCAGGAACTTGGCTTAATGAGAGTTGAGCTAGTTCTGAGTGGCCATTGTGATGCCACGGTGTATACCCAGATATATCAGAACTGCTGCAGAAAGTGCGGGCTGTCTGTGCACGCTTTTGGCGTTCTCACCCTGCTGCTGCTCGCCTGTCTGCGCTGCAGTGTAACTTCGGCCTTCCCGCTCACCGCCTCATGAGACTGTGCGAGCAGCAGCAGGCGATAGTGGAGTTTCAGATGCAGCATGCACAGGTCAGTCGCTCTGCGGAACAGTTTTCTTTTTTATATGTCCTAATATTTTGGGGGCTACCCCAAATAAAAAAAAAATATATATATATTTTATGTAAGGGGCAAATAGCCATATATGGAGTAGGACCAAGATTCTGGCTGCAAAAGGGTCTGGACAACCCCCGAATGGTACAAGGAAGCATACTGATGCTATGATGGTATGACTCCAACTTTGTGAGTGAAACCACTATTTATTCTTTTATTGTATACTATTGGACAGACATACTACGCTATTTTGTATATATACCATTGTGTTTTACAGATCATTCAAGGTTTAAGCGGCTCCGCCTATCACTTTGTATGTATTTCTATATATGGAGTAGAGTTCAAGTAAGACCGTAGGATAGTATAAAAGAGCAAAGTCGGTTGTGGTGTGCCGATACCGACGATACGGTGGGCCTGTAAATAAAAAGGGCCCACCAAGGAGTAATACAAGTAAAAAAAATAGAAGGGAAAAAAAAAAGTGTTGAAAATGAGGAGTGGGTGGGAGGGTCACTCAGATGCTGAACTTGATCGGTATGGAGTCAGGTAAAGGGTGTACCTTATATAGGGGAGGGATTTAATTTAAGCCCCTCCCACAAATACAGGCCAAACGGCCTTAATACTTGTGTAAGGGACAAATAGCCGTATATGGAGTAGGGTTCAAGTAAGAACGTAGGATAGTATAAAAGAGCAAAGTCGGTTGTGGTGTGCCGATACCGACGATACGGTAGGCCTGTAAATAAAGAGGGCAAAAATAAAAAACCAAAGATTTAATACAGTCAACAAATATATATACAATTATCCAGACATTTCTTTAAAAGCATTTCTTAATTCTTGTGTAGGTTTTGGTATGTAAGTCGTATATGCGGATGACTTCCAACGCCCCAGTGATTTAATGATATGTACCGGTATGTTAGCGCTGGAAGCTGTGGAGGCCGCCCCTATGCAGAAGGAGTGACCTGAGTAGTGAGAAGGGTTAAAACCTAGTATGGTTAACAGGGACCAGATGTATTTTATGAAAGTCGTGGTAGTGGGTGTAGTGATGGTGGTGACGTGGTAAGTGAAAGGTAGGAATCTAGAGTTTGGTACTGGACACCATTTGTGGAAAAAGGGAAATAAGTGATCTCCACTGGAGGTGCATGTTGGCTTGTTTTTGACTGGGGTAGTGACAGTATGTAGTGATCCATGTGTTTGCGTAGGTGTGTGCATAGAAGACATCTGTCTGTCTGAGTGGTGTGATAGTAGTGAATTCTCTTGGCCTGAGGAACCCGTAGAATGCTATGTACATGGCAGCTTTGATGACTGTGTTGGTGGTAGAGTGAAAGGATTTGGATAATGACTGCAAAAGTGTGTTGTCTATAGGTAATCTCTGCGGAGGACGTGGAGGAACGGATTTCTGAATACCTCTGAGTATGTTCTTTACCTTATTTGACCAAGAGGAGGATGACTTTATGATACAATGGAATAAAAAATGAGAAAGTTTCTCCTTTGGCCTGATGGATTTGATTATTGAAAGGAGGCGGTATAATTTAGAGAAATTAGATAAAAAGATTAATGAATTACAGAATTATTTAATTAATAACACTACTTCTGAAGAATTTACTGCAATTACGGAGGACATTAAAAAGAATCTTGATAAATTAGAAAGGGCCGTTATTGAAACGACAATGCACAAAATAGAGTAAGGACATATTCAAAATACAAAACCCCAAGTGGTACAAACCACTTTAGATATACTGAAAGAGGGACGTACAATAAGACTCCATACACCCAGACAAGACCCAATAGAGACTTCCTAATTAGGAAACGAATTAACAGTAACAACTTTAGATTCACTCCTAAGAAACCCCAGAGAGACAACGAAGTGAGGACACTACATAGCTCTAGAGAGCATCATAACTCTCCAAAACAGGTAGTTAGGAGAAAAGAATATAGAATGAGGATTAATGATACACATAGACCTATGACATATAATACGCATTATGATAAACCCAGTTCATCTAGGTACCCAAGTATGAGAACCTCAGATGACAGTGTTTTATCGTATAACAAATACTCCCATTTAGACCGAGACTCTAGACAAGAGGATTTTTTGGAACTAAAAGAGAGAAAGAGGCACAAAATACCCCTAAATCACCAGGTAGGCGGAGGAGACCATTAGAAGAAGGGGAATTAGAGGAGGAATTTGTGTAGAAAAGAGGAGAGAAAGACAGACAGTAAATCAGACCGGCATATTAAACTTAACAAGTAGAACATTATCCATACCCCAACAAAAAATACTTGAAAAAGGTCTAGAATTTGCCCCGATTAGAACCTTGGACAAATTTAATACCTATATAGATCTAAATAGATTTAAAAGAAAATTGTATCTGAAAAAATTCTTCATGAAAAACCCACTAATGCACTTTAATCATAATAATCCAGCAATAGGTTTAGAATGTGACAACTCAGGTGGGAATTTTGTCCATACGGAATTAAAAGAAAAGTCTACATTTTTTCCCAAATTTTGCATCTCAGAAGAAATGACGACTTTTGAAAGGATGGTTATGTGAGATCTTAACAGGATTAAACCTGTCAAAATGAATGAATATAATCTAAGTTTTATAGAAAGGAAAACTTTGAAAGATTTTAAAAATGACACCTCACTGGTAATTAAACCAGCATATAAGAGGGGGAGATTGTTCTTCTGGAAAGAGAGGACTATATAGATGAGTCAAATAGATTGCTCAGTGACACTAAAACTTATGTGATATTACAGAAAGACCCCACTAATGAGGTTAAGGTACAATATCATAAATTAATTGATAAAGGGAAATTGGAAGGTATCCTTAACAAACCAATATCTGAATTTTTAAAGGACCACTCTAGGCACCCAGACCACTTCAGCTTAATGAAGTGGTCTGGGTGCCAGGTCCTTCTAGGGTTAACCCATTTTTTCATAATTATAGCAGTTTCAGAGAAACTGCTATAATTATGAATGGGTTAAGCCTTCCCCCTAATCCTCTAGTGGCTGTCTCATTGACAGCCACTAGAAGCGCTGCGTGTTCTCACTGTGATTTTCACAGTGAGAGCAAACGTCATAGAAAAGCATTGTAAATGCTTTCCTATGCGACCGGCTGAATGCGCGCACAGCTCTTGCCGCGCGTGCGCATTCAGCGGCGGGGCGGAACGGAGGCGGAGAGGAGGAGGAGAGCTCTCCGCCCAGCGCTGGAAAAAGGTAAGTTTTTCCCCCTTTCCCCCTTCCAGAGCCGGGCGGGAGGGGGTCCCTGAGGGTGGGGGCACCCTCAGGGCACTATAGTGCCAGGAAAACGAGTATGTTTTCCTGGCACTATAGTGGTCCTTTAAATATTCAATATCCTAAAATTCCGATATTTTATTACCTTCCAAAGATTCACAAAAGTACCAGTAAACCACCAGGACGGCCGATTATTTCAGGCATAGGGTCTATCTCTAGTAGACTCTCACAATACATTGATAGATGCCTACAACCTACAGTCCAGAAATGTCCCAGTTATCTCAAGGACACCATGAATATTCTACAGTTTTAAGACATATTACATGGGATACGGATTATCTCTTGGTTACGGCGGATGTAAGTTCGCTCTATACAATAATAGAGCACACTAAGGGTTGTGAAGCTACAAAATATTTTCTTGATAACTCAGGAGAATTTCCTGAGTCACAAATAGTCTGACCCCACCTCTCCCCAGACCCAGCCAAACATCCCGTAGACCACACGACCAACACGGCCCACCAGGGCACCGCCCTGCCCATGTTCCCGACCCAGGACCTAGCCTCGACATGATGTAGATTTCGACCCCGGCACTGACCTCGTCACCCCCGCCGCCCCTTTGCCCGGATACACTACATTAGCCAAACTTCCCGACCGACAACTCTCGATTCCTTGCCCGTACATTGACCCACATCACCTTGAGGCCCATTACTAACACTAACACGCGCAAAAGAAGTTCGACTGCTCCCATGGTGGTGGCACACCCGTTAGGTAATCTCGGACTTATATACCTAAAACGACAACCAGTGAACACATCCTAATTTGGTGACAAAACAAGGACACGACCACTAACCCCCGACAAGTGCGCGTGAACAAACCCGAACCACGGAGAGTCGATAGTTGGAGGTCGTTAGATACTCTCTGACAGACCCGACTGCCGCCTGCTGCCGTGGTCACGCGAAACAGCCCTCACAGGAGGGATTTCTGACACCTACCTCTAGGTGCCGTAACCGTCTCCCTCTGGGGACGGTAAACCCACCTTCACCTTCACACCCCCGCCTGTACAGTCGTGCAGACAGGGGTCTCTCCATACTTTATCTCAAACCCCTCTCTATCCCCTGCCTTATCCCCCCTACGACTCTGATCCAACCCCCCCAGCTTCTCCACGATTACTCCCTCCCCCCCATTGCCATAGTGCCCGCGGACCTCCTATGGGGACGGGGCACCACTCGATAGCAGACTCCGCCTGGAAGCGTAAACAAACCGTCAAAGGCCATAGTGAACCGCTCCCACCCACCACAAATGGCCTTCGAACCTGATCCTTTACGCGTCACAACCATGAACTGCAGGGGCCTAAATATCCCGGAGCGCAGATCGCAACTCCTTCGGGAACTATCCTCTAGACACATATCAATTGCTTTCCTACAGGAAACACATTTTAAGGAAGGACATGCTCCGCTGTTGAAAAGCAAACACTATCCCAATGCGGCTCATAGCGACTACACGTAAGGCAGGCGTGGCGGTCCTCATG